CTATTATTATAGTAAAGAGCTAGCTATTAAAGCTAATAAACTATTTTAAATTACTTATATTATTTAAATAAATTATTTAGTAGTATTTCTAAAGAAAAATAACTAAACTAATAGTACTTTAAGACTTATTACTATACCTTTACTAGAAATTAGTTATTAGTTATTACTTAAATACTATTTATTATATATTAAGAAACTATTAATATTAAACTATAATTAACCTTTTTAAGATTATTTAAAAGAAAAACTATTATAATAAAATATTACTTTATAATATTTACTAAGCATTTAGTCTATATCTTTATTAAGAAGTAAGGATAAAGTAATATTATTAGATACTGCCTTTAGGCTATATAACGTATATTTGTTATTATAACTGTTTAATATTAAGAGAACTAGACAACCTGCAGCACAAATACTATTATTATGTTAGCTGGAAATGCTAGATACAGGTACTAATTAACTAGTTTTATTAAATAATATTATGTCATTAGTCTACAGAATCTCCTTGTCAAATCCGTTCACGGCCTGATGGACAAGGGCAGCCGCAACAGACTTAAGTCGGATTGTAGTGATGTTCCCCTGCATGCGAGACTTTAGCGCTTCAAGGTCTGTAGAATCGTTAATGATAAACCCAGGTCTCGCTACACATGCCACAGCCTCATCAGGATGCTCCTTTGCAAAGGCTACGACCTTATTCTTAACTTCGCCCTGTGTACAAATTAGTCGCAGTCCAGTGGATATTCAGACTAAAACACACCGGCATGAGAAAGTAGTCTGGCATAACCGACGGAGTCTTGGTCTGGTCCGTCTCTGCATCGGCGCCACTCATGTACAGAAAGCGGAATGGCTTATTCGTCGCTGACTTGACGATGCTTTGAACGCCGGCCAGTGTATCCTTAACACAAATCTTGCGTGCTTGCGCAGGATCCAGCGATCCATAACAGGGACTACCGAATTTCATGAGTTGATGCGGTAGTTATTAAGATTATTTTAAGGTTTTGTGTACGTCTTATGGTTTTGTGCCTAACTTAGGTTGCTAAGTTGGCCACCGTCAGGTCGAGCTAACGGGTATTCCTCCAATACCCGAGATCAGGCGCCGCCCAAGGGGGGAATAGCTCTCGACAGTCAGCTTTCTTTCTTGCGAAACGGTGATAAGATCAAATTGGGTGGTTCCGCGACATCTATTTGTTTCGTCGCATTGAGCACAGATTCATTCGGTCTCGGAGGCGACTGGTGAATAGGAAGGCTGTTGCGAAACCCTATCGTGATGGTGAACCTGAACGCTAACGACGCGCACATACCTTATCACCGCAAGAAGAACTTCTAGGTATATAAGAGCAAATAGTAAATCTTTTAGCTAAAGATGGTTTTGGCCCCATTACTAGAGTAATACGGATGGGAGGCTATTCATTGTCGGCCGCCCTGCAAGTCAGGGGATGACCCCTATCCCTAAAGGTCGCACGGGCTCAGCAGTAACTACTTCGGTAGCAATTTCTGAAACATTAATGTGGAGTTAAGAGATAGTCGGAACGACATGAAAGATAGCGCAAGAGATAAATGCCATACGCATAAAACGTAGATGCCACGCTCAGGAATTAGCAACCCATCACACATTGACTCCAGTCGTCTATTGATTTATTCGTTCATTTGTATCGCATCGACTCACCGTTCGACGTCTAGCCATGCGTCTCCCACCTATCTCTGGATGGGGCATTGCTCTTGGCCTTGTGAGCACCGTCTTTGCTGCTCCTCAGCCTGTAGGGCAGACATGTCCTGGAGGCGGTATCGAGATCATCGCATTACAGCCATACGAGATCGTACACAATGGAAAGACCTCTGTTACCACTGTTACCCGCACTTACACCAAGTACGCTGGGCAATCCGATGCCCCAGCAAAATATGACGGGCCCGGAAACCCTGATTCTGGGGTCAATTACCCAGGCTACCCTGATCTACCGGCATATCATACCGACTTGGGTCATCCGACACAACAGGGGCAGCCAGACCATTCGCCTTGTAATGGTTGCGTTACCATCACAACCACCACTGCAGTTCCATTCTGCACCACTATTCCCCCTGCTACTAAAGGCGGAGTCTCTACTGTTATTACTGGTATCCCCCCTCCTTGCACCCACTGCGTCACTATTACCACTGCGGGCTATGTTCCGTATATCACTACAGTTCCTCCAGCCTCTTCTGGTGGCAGGACTACAGTTATTACCTGTGCTGGGCCACGGACAGTCACTATAACTGCCAAGGTACCAGATATAACAACACTACTTCCTCTTTCTGATTGCAGGTACTGCACGGCTACAGTTGTTATCCCCTCTGCCGCCCATAGTACCATAACTACGAAAGGATGGATCTCAGGAACTCCAACCTTTACCGTTCCCGTCTCTACTCTAACTACGACTGGCCCGACTGCTGGAACGACGACCTTGCCTGTCCCCTCTGGCTGCAATTCCTGCACCATAACTGTTATTGTCACTGCTGGGACCATGACTAGCTTCACTGGTCCATTCACCACCTTGACTACTAAGGGTCCAATTGCAGGAATAAGTACCTTACCTGGTCCTTCTGGCTGCATCAAGTCTTGCACTGGCACAGTCGTAGTAACCGACGGCTTCCCCGGACCCTTCTCAACGATAATAACCACTGGACCCACTGCTGGGACCACCACTAAGCCACCACCTTCGAGTTGTACAAAGTCTTGCACTGGAACCATTATTGTTACATGTGGACCATCAGTCCAGTCCATTGATTCATCCGGTATGATCTCTACAGCTCGGACTGCTACCGCCACAACTAGAGTACCCAGGTCCTCGGGTGCCCTATCATCAACCACTATTGCAACCAGCAGGCAAAACTCTGGCTCAACCATTCCATCTGGCTTAGCTACATCCGGTTCAGCTCGGTCAGGTTTAACCATTCCATCTGGCTCAGCTACATCCGGTTCAGCTACTTCATCTGACTCAGTACCTCCATCTGGCTCAACAACTCCCTCTGACTCAGTACCTCCATCTGGCTCAACAACTCCCTCTGACTCAGTACCTCCATCTGGCTCAACAACTCCCTCTGACTCAGTACCTCCATCTGGCTCAACAACTCCCTCTGACTCAGTACCTCCATCTGGCTCAACAACTCCCTCTGACTCAGTACCTCCATCTGGCTCAACAACTCCCTCTGACTCAGTACCTCCATCTGGCTCAACAACTCCCTCTGACTCAGTACCTCCATCTGGCTCAACAACTCCCTCTGACTCAGTACCTCCATCTGGCTCAACAACTCCCTCTGACTCAGTACCTCCATCTGGCTCAACAACTCCCTCTGACTCAGTACCTCCATCTGGCTCAACAACTCCCTCTGACTCAGTACCTCCATCTGGCTCAACAACTCCCTCTGACTCAGTACCTCCATCTGGCTCAACAACTCCCTCTGACTCAGTACCTCCATCTGGCTCAACAACTCCCTCTGACTCAGTACCTCCATCTGGCTCAACAACTCCCTCTGACTCAGTACCTCCATCTGGCTCAACCATTCCATCTGGCTTAGCTACATCCGGTTCAGCTCGGTCAGGTTCAACCATTCCATCTGGCTCAGCTACATCCGGTTTAGCTACTTCATCTGACTCAGTACCTCCATCTGGCTCAACAACTCCCTCTGACTCAGTACCTCCATCTGGCTCAACTCAGCAGCCTCTTCTTTAGAGACTTTAGTAGCCTTATCTTCAGAGACTTCAGCAGCCTCTTCTTTAGTAACTTTGGCAGCTTCTTCTGCTTCTTCTTCAGCAGCCTCTTCTTAGACTTCAGCAGCTTCTTCTTCTTCTTCAGCAGCAGCCTCTTCTTCAGTAACTTCGGCAGCTTCTTCTGCTTCTTCTTCAGCAGCCTCTTATTCTTCTTTAGAAGCCTTATCTTCAGAGACTTCAGTATTATCTTCAGAGACTTCAGCAGCCTCTTCTTCAGTAACTTCAGCAGCTTCTTCTGCTTCTTCTTTAGCAGCCTCTTCTTCTTCTTCAGGAGCCTTATCTTCAGAGACTTCAGCAGCCTCTTCTT